TCTGTGTTCTCATATTATTTCTATTATGTTCTACAGATTTCCAGCAAGCTCTTTATGAGTTATCATGCCATGTCGTTAATGGAAATCTCAAGCATGAACATGCATCTAATGTTCTTAGCGACATTAGTGTAAGTTGTGTGTGTGTGTTCTTTTTTGATACAAAGATCTCTGAAGTGTATAAATTGCATTTCATTTTATTCAGAATTATAGTGAGGTAGGGCAGGGACATGGGACAAGCATCATAATTAACTTTTCCTACCTATGATGAAAAATGCTGAAATATAAACAGTATCGTAAGAACAGGAGGGACCCAATCTTAAGGCTAAGATTCCATTTTAAAAAGCAGTGAGTTGAAGAAGTAAGATTCCTAACATATTCTCTGGTAATGAGACAGTAGCCCAACAGCCTATCTTAAGGCAGGGCAGGCAGTCTTAACTGATATGTCCCCACTACTTGAGGGTAACCCTGTCTTGGAGAAGAACTGGATAAATAAATGCCTTGTGTTGGGCTTATTTAGCAGAATTATCTGGAGGACTGATAAGAAAGGAAAGGAGACATGGTGTCTCTCACCAGAGATAAGCACCTTGAGACCACAAGTCAAGCCTATGCCCAACAACCCCCCTCTGCCGTTTGCCCCATTCTTGAAAGCCTTAAAAGACAGAATCCCCAAACTTTCAGTGTGCCTTCTCTCTGAGGTCGTCCGCACTTTCTTTAAGTGTGTACTTTCAGATAAAGCTTTCTCACTGCTCAGATTATTGCGGTCTTCACTCTGTCTCCGCTTTACTCCTAATAAGTAGGAAGGGGCTGCTAAGAGATCAGATTTGGGCCTGCATGTTTCCATCGCCTGGGTGACATGGAGTAACTGCCGCTGTGTGATCTGTTTTTAGTAGTATGTCGGAAAATCTTACTTTGGTAAGTTCTCAGAACATAATCTTACTCCATCCTGTGCTCCGTGGCTCCCCCAAATCTTGGAGTCGTACAGGCTAGTCCCCATGCCTTGCAGATCCAGGTGGATGCAAGATGCCAGGTGACTGGCTTCAGGAGTTGGCAAGGGAATCTGTCCTAGGCCAAGAAATTTCCCTCTTTCCCTTGCACTTTCCTGTTCTCTGGTGCCTGCAAGGCAGCTGCCATTCCCTGCTGCTGTTGCTTTAATGAATTCCTTCCTTACCTACACTGGGCTGACCTGTTGGAGAATTCTCTCTCACCCAGAATTAAGAAGGCTTCCCCCATCCAGGTTGAGGTTTCTCCTAGTTCTTCACCTAGCTGCCCAGCAACAACAGTAGTGAATGTTTTAAGGTAATAGTGATAAGTCATTGTTGCTAGGCAGAAACACATTTTAATCTTTCTGTCTGGTTGTGAGTAAAACAGAATGTTAGGTAAACTGGGAGAGCAAGAAAAAAAAGCCAAAAGCCTTCATTTTACTGAAGTCAAGGTATATTCAAAAGTGCTACTATAAAAAATAATTTGGCTAGAATATGTTTTTCTCCCAATATAGCATCTCTCAAGGTATTTTCTTTAGTTTGTGGTTATGTTTAGAAATTAAATGTATTTTTTAAATTGAGGATTCAGTGATTTTGAATTGAGGTTGCATAGAGGACCTTCACTTGATACCAATTTTCATGTTTTTGCAATTTCTTTTAGAAAATATTAACTAGATTTTTCCCCCTAACCTTTAAGTGGTTATTCTGTTTCACTCTGTTATTTTTTAGAGTATCTAAGTTAACTTCAGACCAGATACTTGTCATGGTGGTTTGGTATTTAAATTGAAAGATGAATTGTCAAATTGTAGTCATGTTTATTGTAAACCAGTAGTTAAGTTTCAGTTTTTACAAGTGGTGTATTACTCTATTAGGCTGTATTTTAAACTGACATAAATAAAATTATCTGCCCAGTTGAGAACAACTTTCATAACTATCACTGAGGTAGGACTTGGCACTTCTTGATATCAACGAGCATTTTCCCCTGTGTTGCTTTAAGCTTCTGTGGCCTTTTCGTGCTAGCGTAGGTAATCTCCTTTATATTTTTGTGTTTTCCTGAGGGTTCTAAGGAACTACTGTGTTTAGCTGTTGTGATTTTTTCCCCTCACATTGAGATGTATTTGAGCAGTAGACGTTCAATATGCATTTCTCTTTTATCACTAAATTGTCTGTATGAGAAAGCAACCTTAGTTCATGTTGGAGTAGTCTTTCAACAGTGAGTTTTCCATGTTTGAAAACTCTTGTCTTGCTCTATTATTTCTGGTCTTCAGGTATCCTGAGTACTTGCATTCAAGTAGACATAGCCAAAGTTCATAGCCATTTAAGAAATTTGAGGCTAAAATCTGGTTGACAGTTAAGGTTATTTCATTCCATTAATTGGGCATTGGTGTAGGGTTTAGTGTATTTATGGAATTTGATTATAATACTTTTCTCATTTATTGAAAATGAACAGTCCAAATGAACTTAATGTTTATTAAAAGTTTTTTATTAAAGTATAGTTGACATATTAGTTCTAGATGTATGACAGTGATTCCACATTTATGTACATTACGAAATGCTCACCATGACAAGTGCAGTTACCATCTGTCACCATAAAATGTGTGTTTTGTTCTTCCTTAGCTCACCCTTCCTTTCAGTCCTTCGTGATACATATTCTTCTGCAGCTGGATTGTCTTTGTCATGGCCTTCTCATAGTACTGAATCTCACGGTCCCGCTTCTTAGCCACAGGAGCATATCCTGTGTGTCTCTTACAGATGTCAGGTTTTGCTTTAGAATTACATTTCTTTCCTTTAGTCTCTGAAAATAGGCTAGTTTTAGGGTTACTACAGTGCCAGCAAACTAACTGCAATAATTGAATTATGTCCTTCCTAATGAAAAATCACTCTAAAATGGGGCATGGGAGTGGGAAGTTAGGAGACAGATCTAGTAAAAATGTTGAAGTTTTCGTCCAGAAATGAGGGGAGATTTTTGGGTGTGTTTCTCCAAAGGCTTACAACTGTTAGAGCATAAGAAAAATAAAGATAGATTTTTGATAATTGTCTTCGGAGAATCTTGAATTAGGGAACACCAGCTTGTGATTGTTCTTATATTTTTTAGATTTCTGTTCTGATACTACTATGATTTTTGCATAGGTCAGTGATGGGCACAATATTTGAAATTTTGGATGAGAAATAAACCATTTTTAACAGTTTTTCTTTAGGTAGGTGGGAGGTACTGCAAATTCCAGTGGTTTCTAACATGAAAATTCATTGGAAAAATTTCAATCAGTTGTGCTCTTTAATATTTCCTGGTGTTTATTTTATTTAGGTTTCTATTTTTTATCAAGTTATTTAATGATAGAAATTCAAACATTTTTTTCCAGCTGTTGTCTCTTTATTTTCTCTATATTATGAAACATGAAGAATTTTATTCCATGTCAACACAGCGGTGTTGGGGTTTTGTTATTCTGAAACCATAGTACTTGCTGGTGTGCTATTGTAGTGTTTTATTATGAATAATTATATTTTTAAAATTAGGAATTTCATGAGGATATGCCTTCCATTCTTGCTGATGTATTCTGCATATTAGGTAGGTATTAAACCTTTATTTCACCTGTAAAAAGTGCTGTTTATTAAATTAATGTACTATGTTAAAATGTTTTCTTCCAAAGTAAGAATTTTACAATGTACAAATGTTTTTATAAATCTAGAATATATATCTTTTTACTCCATAGAGACTATAGTATTGTAAGTCAAATGTGAGTATAATCACTGTTTATAAACTAGTGCTAGTTTTAGTTTATAATTGTTTTCATAAAGTATCTTGATATAAAACGAAACTAAATTAAGCCATTACAAATAAAAAGGCTAAGTTTTCTGAAGTTAGCTACATTGGCCAGGATATTGCGAAATGGCACTGTCCATGAAGGGAAAATGGAGAAGGGCAAAGAAAACATGGGTATATTTCATGATAAATCCCCTTCTCTCAATTCTCACGGATGGCGGTAGAAACTAAACTGAAGCAAAGCGGTGGTAGGATGTCTGGGGAGAGCCCTACAATACTTAGAGGATAACTTTTAATACATCCCTAAAATCAGTGCTGCTTTCTATAGCACATTCTAAAGTATGAGTTGACTTTAAAAATAGGATAATAGTATGTAATTAGTTAAAGTAATAATCCTAAAATTGGCTTTATAATCTTGCTAATTCTAGTTGAAAATTTTGATGCTTGGCATTTAGAGCTAATAGTTTTATTTCTTTCATGCCACAGAAAATTATTCGACAAATAGGTCTCAGTTTTTTTTATTGAAGTATTGTTGATATGCAATCTTATTGGTTTCAGATATACAACAAGGAGGTTTCAGCTTTTAAAAAAGATTTCAGTAGGAAGAAAATAAAAATCTTGAATACATTTTTGTTTGCTGACTAGAATTATAATTCAAAATAGGATATTAAAAATATCTTTTAATACTGTCTTTTCATAGAACTGATGGCCAGGTAGCTTGAATAGAACATGGTACATGGTAACAAGGTGGCCAAGGTCAAGAATTTGATCTTCCTGAGTAATAGGATCTTTAATGTCAGAAGAGATCTTTGTTGTCACCCAGTTCAACTTAACACTCAAGAAAGGAATTTCTTCTTTAGCATCTCTGACATGTGGTCACTTAAACTTTGCTTTAATATTTCCATTTTTGAAAACAGTGGGGTGTTTTTGAAGCTTTGTTGCTTTTCCAGTGCCATAACACACAGCTTCTTTGTAGTCTACTTACCATTTTATGGGTTTACCATTTTATGGGTATGCCATTGGTCACAGGGTCAGTCTACAGTATAAGAGAAATTAATTCTAAGCATTCATATGTATATGGAGGAAAGCTCATGCTTACCATAGTTTCAGATTTTTTTCCCAAATGAGCATTTCAAAATTAGCTAGTTTTAAAGAAAATTAAGTATCTTATTTTAGTGTTAGAGTCTAGGAAAATATGTCAAACTTTCATCTTTTTTTTCCTTCACTGTAGATACTGAGACAAATTGTTTAGAAGAAAAAAGCAAGAGAGACTATTTTACACAATTGGTATTAGCATGTTTGGTAAGTTTTAAAAAAACACTTTCTACATTTTCCATTGAACACTTGTAATTACAGTAATCATGTTAATGGAGGAGGATGTTGACATCTAGTTGACTATTCATTTTAAGGTGATATTGGGGTTTTGAAATGGAATGATTTGTAAAATTAGACATACTAATTATTTCTATGAAGTAGGCATGCTACCATATCATTTATCTATACATATAAAACCTTAGGTGGTATTCCTGACCTAATAAATTCCTGAGAGAAAGGTAAAACATCTATCAAGTGAGTAGAAATGATGTGGACAGCTTTTAAACTGAGCAATTTTTCCTAAACGAGTAGGTAAGGAAAAAAGAAATGAAGGTAGTTTAAAAATAATAAGTTCTAGAAATTGTCATAATCATTGTCTAATAAACCATTTTATGTTTATCCATTTAGAATCAAAGGGAAATGCCGTTACTCAGACCTGGAAGAATGTCCTTGTCTTTGCTGTACTAGAATTTGACAGAAGTGCTGTATTATCTTAAAATACAGTTGACAGATTCAATTTTAATCAGAATTTCATCTGTTGTTCTTGTCATTTGTAGGCCATGTACAGCATGCATTTAATTTTTTAGTGAGTGTTTTTTTAAAGAGCTATATGTCACATTTTTCAATATTTGCAGTCTTCATTTTGTTCAATTGAAGTTCTAAGCTTTTTTATTGTTACAAATTGATACGTTTTTGTGTTATTTTAGTATTTGGGAAAAGCTGTTTTGAATATATTGAAATATACTCAATATAAATAAATATATTATATATTTTAAATATTGTGGTTGTGTAGTTGGAATGCTAAGGAATAAATGGCCTTTAATATTTTTTAATGCAGTATTTAGTTTCAGACACAGTTCTAAAGGAACGCCTGGATCCAGAAACATTGGAATCATTAGGGATTATCAAACAATCACAGCAGTTCAATCAAAAGTCAGTTAAAATCAAGACAAAACTCTTGTAAGTACATGTACCTTTCTGTTGCAGATCAAGTACCTGCGCGTGTTTTGTTAGCTCTCATTTTGAATACTAGAAGTTTCTAAAGGCAGTTGAAGGTTTTTTATGTTGCTCTTACCATGTGTCTCCTATTTTTTCCTTTTAAAAGTAGCCTGTAATTACTGAGTCAGCATTGAACATGGCCTGTGTGAAACCAGTATAAATTTTTTTCCATATTAGAAATTGGAATAGTATTCAGTGCTTTAAAATAATTTACAACTGGCTATATTCTAGGGTATATCCTGAGTGATGGAAATAGTGGTATGTTGTTCCTCCTTGGGATTAGCAATATCTATTATTTGTGTTACTGATTTTCCCTGTATAATTGTCTCCTTGAACTATTGTTATCATTCTATCCTAAAAGATAAACAAAGGTAAGTTTTTCAACAACAATTCTTCGTATTGTTATCTAAGAGAGATAAGAATATTCAATGAAAAGAATACAGTACTCTTAATTAAGCTTGCTAATTGAAATTAATTTTATCCCCTGTATGATATTTATCTAATTTCAGTTATAAGCAGCAAAAATTCAATTTGTTAAGAGAAGAGAATGAAGGTTATGCCAAGCTGATTGCTGAATTGGGGCAAGATTTATCTCAAAATATTACTAGTGATTTAATCTTAGAAAATATCAAATCTTTAATAGGTAAGACATGCATAGTATGTTAATAAGAAATGAGTTTTTTAGTTATTGGAGGATATCCATAAAGACAAAATGAGTGCATTCCCTATAGTTTTTTTTTAATTAAGAAATGAGAGCATGTGTTTTTAAACTTGTTCTTTTAAGATTTTATCAGTAATAAAAAATTTAAGTTGATGATGAGAAATCTTTTTGTCACTGTTACCTGTGTGTCTGTATTAGATTCTTCTTTCTCTGGTATTTCTCTTCAACTTTTAAGTATTTCTCAATAATTTTATAGAGAGCAGAAAATAAAGTAAGCAGTTGAAACATCAAGAAAGTCTTCGCTGAACTCTTGAAATGCAGAGATGTAAAGTTCTTGTGAACTTGATTTACAAAATATCTTTATCAGAGACATTGAACACACCTTATTTTTTATTTTTTATTTTTTTTTATTTTTTTATTTTTGAGAGGGAATCTCTCATATTTATTGATCAAATGGTTGTTAACAACAATAAAATTCTGTATAGGGGGGTCAATGCTCAATGCACAATCATTAATCCATCTCAAGCCTAATTCTCATCAGTCTCCAATCT